ATAAGTATTTTGCCTGTCACCTTTATTCCGTAGATAGTTGAGCTCTGTTATAATCCAATATTTAAGTGGTTGGGGGGGGGGGTGTGTGTGTTCCATATCATTTTTTCTAGATCTTCTATTTATAGATGTATTTTTATTTGGTGTGAATGTTACCTATTATAATTGTCAATAACTCTGATGAGCTACATTTATTAACTTATTCAATTATGCTAAATTGTGGAGCTTAACCTGAAAAATACATTTAAATTTGATGAGTAAACCTCAAATGAAATACCACATTGCCCACCTCCACCTCTGTGTATGTATACCATCTACTAAAAAAAAATAATTTAAAAAAGTAATTAAGTATTACTATGCTACCGGACCGGATATTCCTTTTTTTTTTAAATGGACTCTATGTTGTTCCAAGTAGTTTCGACTCTTAACAAAATAATAAATAATTGCTTTTCATTATATTTTTGTGTTTAATACTTAAATCAAATTTTTACATATATATATGTTTTTAATTTGTATCAATGTAAAATTTAATTATTTTTTTTTCACAAAATAAAAAAGTCCCATGAAAGATATTATGTCGTTCTAATATTATTTTTCATTTTTTTTTTTTTAAATCAATTATGATCCCTTAAGTAAGTTAAATGGATTAAATGTAGCAAGCTGAACGACGTGTAAAATATTGTACATAGATCAAAAATAATTGTCATGATGAGCGTGCTTACAGCGAACACAACAAAAATGTAGAGTAGACTGAATGCATGAAGTAATTTTTCTATGAGCTGACATTGCCCATGAATTCTGTAGCAGCAGCGGTTCTCAACCTAATGCGTGGTTGCCCGATGGGGGGGGGGGGCCTGTGGTTACTTTTTTCTTGGTTAACGTTTCTGTGAATTTAAGATTTTGGGTTGGTGTTATACAATTTGTTATGTTCACGGTTTACCTTGTAAGATTTTTTTTTTATTTTGTTTTTTTTTGTGGTTTTTTTTTTGGGGGGGGTGTGTGTTTGTATGTAAATCTTTTAATCCTTCTTTAGAATAATTTCTGTACTTAAATGCGGTAAGCTCTCGTTATAATCTTTAATTGTTAATATAGATATTCATTTAAACGACTATCTTAATGAAAAAAAAAAAGAAAATGAATGACAGGGAAAGCCTTGGTTACATTCTGAGAGGAAATGCGTGTAGAGTTATTGGACAATTATTTTCTAGCATGTATACGTTGTTGTTTTTTTTTTTTCATTTTCATTTTATTCGGCTAATATAAAGATCTTCAGCAGATCCGTCCTTATGATATGGCTTTCTTTGAACCATTTTGCCTGGACAAGGGTGCAATATGCTTTTTCTTTTGTGCATTTATAACTGCTTTTTTTTTGTGGTTTGTTTGTTTATATAAATATATTTCTTATGTATATTTAACTGAAAAAGCCTTTCAAATATCACGCCCAAGTGGAGGAATTTCATACATATTGTGATACTTGAATGTGTTAGTTTGATCGCCTAATTCTCCATTAAAGCATGTAGTCTCTCCTATACTAGACCATATTCATAGACTTGTCTGTGGTTATTTCTACAGTGCAATAGCTGCACACACACATTGTTCTCGATTCTGATATTTTTTTTTTTTATTTCTGCTTTCTCATAGTGAGTGAGAAGCAGCCAGCAGTGGACATTTTTAAAGTTTGGTTGAAAGCAAGAATCGGCTTCAAATATTCATGTAATACTGTGAAATAATAATTATTTTATGTGTTGTTATTTATTTTATTCCTTTTTTTCTTTTAAACTTCATCTCGCTTTCATTGCTGTGGTGAGTTGAGTTGTAGAGCAGTGGTGCGCAACCAACGCGTTATGACCTCAATAATTGGTGTGCAATCAACGGGGCCATGACCCCAATAACTGGTGTGCAATCAACTGGGTCATGACCCCAATAACTGGTGTGCAATCAACGGGGCCATGACCCCAATAACTGGTGGGCAATCAACGGGGTCATGACCTCATTAAGCTGTGTGCGCTCAGCGGGTCTCGTGACCTCCAGAATTTCGGACCTTAATAAGGAGTTGTCATGGCTGGGGTGTTTTATAGGTCTATCAAAATATTTACATTTGTTGCGATTTACTTTCGGACATATTTTAGCAATAACGAAACCAAAACTAGTGAATGTTACCAAAATGTTGTTCACTGCTCGATTTTCTAAATTATTTTGGTCAGTGCTACGCAGGGTCGCCCATCACTGTTTATCTAGAATTACACTACGTTTGCTTAAAACACAATAATAAGCCATTATATCTGTATAATAGTCCAATATAGTTGTTGCATCGGGCTTTGAATGTTTTGTATGCCATACTGCACGCCACATATCAGCGAGTTCCAATTAAAGCAGTACATGTAATGCGAAGAATACAGTATTGTTTTTGTTGTTATTGTTTTTTTTTTTGTTTTTTTTTTTGTTTTGTTTTTTTTTGGAACGTGCCGTCAACAATCAACATTGTGCCGTCAGCATTCAACACTGTTTACGTCAGCATTCAATACTGTTTACGTCAGCATTCAACAATGGTACGGTTTGAAGTTTATTGCATTAAGCACGTTCGTTGTTTTTTTGTTTTTGTTTTTTTAAGCCTTATATTATGGCAGGGGTGTTACAATGAAGGTGATGCATCAGATGAAAATATATTGGTACGCCCAAGACACTAATAAAACAAAAACCAATAACAAATAAATTCATAATTTAGTGTCTGTTGAGTTACTGTCTTTTTTTTTACAATTGTTATTTATTTTTTTACATGTCAAACTTCATTGTTTATCGGTGAATGTTTTACATGATCGCCTTCGTTTTTTTATTTCTTCGAGTGACTTCAGATCTTACCGCGTACAGCAGACTGCTACAGCCTCATACCATAAAAAAGATGATAGCGTCACACAGGTTGCTAGAAACGGAAACCATGTTTATATCAAGTTTCCGGGGGCGTTAATGCAGAGTTCACGCGACCAGAGTTACGGAACATGATGACTCCTGAATGGATAGAGCCTCAATACAATTGAATTAGGGTTAAGGCAGTAAAAATAGTTAATGAATTTATTTATGGAAAGTAATTAATTAAAGACGTACAAATAGAGTATCGAAGTGACGTTTAGAAATATTAGCGAGGAAATTGTTAAGTTTAACAAAAAGAAAATAAAACTATTAAAATGTTTCAATGCTTCTATTCGCCATCTCGTTCCCCAGAAATATAAAGCACGCTTTAAAGTGTTGCGCAACAAGTTATTCGAGGCGATAGAGACACCACACGAAATCAAATTATAACAGCAAATAGAAAGCAATTTTCCGCTAAAATAAATAAATAACTCAATAAGCAGGACTAGTTTATTAGTGTCAGTATGGAAATATGACAAAATGATTGTAAATGAAAGTGGACATTAGTTCTTGGCTATCTTGTACTATGTTGAAATACACAGTCAAAGCTTATCTCATACGTTCAAAAATAGATAACAGTTGGATGATACCGATGCTATATTTAGACATTTGTTGCTGTTGGACACCAATCTGCCACACGTTGTAGATAGTTGTAAAAGTATTTCACATCAAAGATGTAAATAATATCGTGCAAAAGGGTGAACCTGTATCACTTTCATGGAATTGTACCAGAAACACCGTGCTTAATTCAGTTAATGAGTACATTTTCAACTCATAACAACATCCATAATGTGCATATTCAGTAAAGACCAACACTATATTTTAAGATTCACTTCATAAAATCCCATTTAGGGCAATCGGATCTCAAGATCACAACTGATAGTTTATTGTTGCCATTTTTGATGACTTCATCGCTCAGAGTAACAAGGATAGAAACTCTCAAACCTAAACCTTTCATCATAGCGTCTTTACATAGCAACTTAAAGTTATAACGTGGGTCCCGTTCAACCAATGTTCAGTGCCATCACCAGGGCCGTCTTAGCAACATAGGAGGCCCTGGGCACAGCAATGCACTGGGGGGGGGGACCCTCTGGCAACACAACATACCCTGAGNGGGGGGGGGGGGGATTCGCCCCATGCTCAAACAGAGGGGGGTAGGGGGGCAAACAGTTCCTGCTCCCCACGAACTCACCAAGTGGAATAAAAATGTAAAATGAAATAAAAATTAAATGAAGTTAAACTTCTATTAATTAAATTTATTGCTACAAAAAAAGAAAAAGAGTTATTCAAAATCAATAATAGTTTTAAAACACTATCAGAAATAAACTAAATATAATCACATAGGATGGTCAATTATCATTATAGAAAGATGATAGACAGATTAAATTATTGATTATAAATCAACATAACCGTTTGCTTATTTTTTTTTTGTGTGCAGAGAATTGTTTTATTATTATTGGTTTAAAGTCAAAGGTCTTAAGGAAGTCATTTCCCATGCACATAAGTGAAAGCCAGTTGAAACGTTTTTGTCCTATTTTACTGCGATGCTGGTATCACAGTTAACCCTTATGATGGGTATCACAGTTAACCCTTATGATGGGTATCACAGTTAACCCTTATGATGGGTGTCACAGTTAACCGTTATGATGGGTATCACAGTTAACCCTTATGATGGGTATCACAGTTAACCCTTATGATGGGTATCACAGTTAACCCTTACTTATCCACCCAGAACCGCTGTTCGTTGCTAGTAATATTAACACAATAAACAAAAGTAAAACTTACTTGTTTTTAAATGAAGCTTTCAGTCATACGCGCACATTGATGTACGCGTGCAAGGAACATTCCATTTCAAAATCATTCGTCTCTGAATCATATTATTTCAGTTGTAGAAATAAAACACAAAATGATAGGCCACTTGTACGTTTTTTTTTATTTTTTTTTTTTACTTTTTTTTTTTACTTTTTTAAATTGTAACAGCATTATATTACAAAGGTTCTAGACCCGTCAGAATTGATTAATTTCTCATTATTATTTTTATTATTCTTTAAAGTAAAAAAAAACTAAAACAAAAAAAAAACAACAAAAAAAAAACCCAGAGAAACTGAGAATAGATTTGTTTAAAAACCAGAGGTAGACCTTTGAATTATCTTATCTATCTCTGCCCAATCCGCTCTTGCCCAGCTGTTTCTGCCCATGCCATCATCGTCAATCTTTTAGGACTGCGATAAAAAGGACTTGAAATCTTCAGTCAGCACATATTAAGTCATCCGCTGAGTCGCCATGGCGCGTCACATTCTTTCGCTGCTGGTGCTGTTGTCAGGTAAATTCTACAGCTTTATTCAACATTCTTTTTTTATTGAAAAATAAATATATTTGTAATAAAAGAAAACAGTATGATTTAATTCAGTAGCGGTTATAAGATTAATATTTTTTTTTTAAATAATTATCAATGAGGTCGAATTCATATTTTGTTTCCCTGAATCGTATGCCCCCCAATATGTGTTAAACAAAATAAATGACAGAGTTTAAGTATGGACAACGGCTACGGAGTTCAAGTCTCGGGGTGAGTTTTGTCCACACTTATAGCTAATTTTGTTTGTTTGTTGTTTTTTTTTAAATTCTCAAGACTGGAGATAAAAATAATGTTTGACTTTCATACATGGACTAGAAATTTGGGAGAAAAGAAAAAATAAATTGGGGTGGAGGGGGGTGGTGTAAATAGGTAAATTCAATAAATATATTTCACTTCAATTTATTTTATGTATTTTTTTTCATTTTAATGCAAATTTAAAGTTTATGTGAATGGATGTTGAATCCACTGTTCCCACTGGGGGGAGGGGGGGGGACCGAGCACTTGATCCTGGTATCTAAAGTACGGCTAACTACGGGGAACCTCTTTTTTCTAAATGTCTAATTAGTAAACGTGTTTTTTTCCCTTTATAAATGAAAAGTAAGTGTTTTTTATTGGAGGAAATAAAGTGTTGTTGGGTTATAAAAGTCAATGGTTATAGCAATTGACGTGTCTCTTCAGTCAGCAAGAGTCTGACTACTCCATTACCGGAAGACACGACCGGAATGCTTCAGGTACTGACAAGCCAGTACCCAGGGCAGACAACACCTCGACCGGGGACCGGCGATCAAAAGCCTGTGACGGAATCGGGACCCACGTCACCTCTGTTCAACCTGCTCGGATCAACTCCGGTGGCCTGGAAAACCCCTGCTGCAACTGTTTCAGCTGGGCAGTTTGCTGTCGAATCAACAAATCCATGGCTCTACTGGTCAACGCGTCCTCAGGATAATCCCTCCCCTCCATACTACGATAGCACTTTCCCCTACTGGCCTACAGGTGCCAAAAATAGCCCATCCGCTCCCTACTATGGTAGCACGTATCCATACTGGCCTACAGGTGCCAAAAGTGACCCATCCGCTCCCTACTATGGTAGCACGTATCCATACTGGCCTACAGGTGCCAAAAGTGACACATCCGCTCCCTACTATGGTAGCACGTATCCATACTGGCCTACAGGTGCCAAAAGTAACCCATCCACTCCCTACTATGGTAGCACGTATCCATACTGGCCTACAGGTGCCCAAAATAACCCATCCGCTCCCTACTATGGTAGCACGTATCCATACTGGCCTACAGGTGCCAAAAGTAACCCATCCACTCCCTACTATGGTAGCACGTATCCATACTGGCCTACAGGTGCCAAAAGTGACCCATCCGCTCCCTACTATGGTAGCACGTATCCATACTGGCCTACAGGTGCCAAAAGTGACCCATCCGCTCCCTACTATGGTAGCACGTATCCATACTGGCCTACAGGTGCCAAAAGTGACCCATCCGCTCCCTACTATGGTAGCACGTATCCATACTGGCCTACAGGTGCCAAAAGTGACCCATCCGCTCCCTACTATGGTAGCACGTATCCATACTGGCCTACAGGTGCCAAAAGTGACCCATCCGCTCCCTACTATGGTAGCACGTATCCATACTGGCCTACAGGTGCCAAAAGTAACCCATCCACTCCCTACTATGGTAGCACGTATCCATACTGGCCTACAGGTGCCAAAAGTGACCCATCCGCTCCCTACTATGGTAGCACGTATCCATACTGGTCTACAGGTGGCAAAAGTGACCCATCCGCTCCCTACTATGGTAGCACGTATCCATACTGGCCTACAGGTGCCACCAACAATCCATCTTATCCATATCAGCCAACAGGTTCCGGCAATGAGCAAACCACACACGCTTATCCACAAACTACATCCAATCCCTATTCTACGCCATCTGGAGCATGGATACAACCATCGACCGTCAGGGATCCATTCTACTATTACACGACGTATCCCTACTGGCTGACAGGCATCCACAGTAGCCCCACTCCTGCATCCTACGTCACCGGTTATCCGAACTGGGAGACCAGTAGACAATACAGTTCGCTGGGTGACACGAGCGAGTATCCCCAAACACCGCTGTACGACACGGGGAATCCACAAGTGACGACTCAGCCGGCGTTTGTACCCACAAGCGCGCCTGGAACTCTGGCCACCCTGTACGACACGTGGGAGACGACACATCCTCAGTGTAAGTCTTACACCCTTAGAAACGGCCTACTAGCCTGTGAATATTTTACAGAACTAATGAAAAATATTTTGATATGACAATGGCGTGTTTTCCCATGTTTACGTCACGCTACGTGGTCAAAGTTGGAGAAAAAAGAATTCATGGATTGATTGCTCCAACTTTGACCACTTAGCGTGACGCCACAAGAAAAACAATTTTTAAAAAAAATAGTTTGTTTTGTTTAGAACTTTGTTTTAACAATTCGCCCCTTGAGAGGAAGAATGTACTAAAAGACAAAACCGCCAGGACCGAGTTTTGTAATTGTTCAAAGTTGCTTTGATAATTAAATATTAACTTCAATACACCATACTCGAAATGACAGCTTTGCGAAGTCAGTAACATATTTTTTGTTTTTGTTTTTCGGGGGGGGGGGGGGGAGAGAGAGAGAGAGAGAGAGAGAGAGAGAGAGAGAGAGAGAGAGAGAGAGAGAGGGAAACAGTATCTTGCCCAATAGATGAATCTACGTATATGACAAATGTGGGTTTGGCGCTCAGGACAATCTTGCTCTCATTAGACGAACTGCTTTACAAATATAGTAGTGACACGATTATATTTTTGAACAGAACCCCCCCCACCCAACCCCCCCCCAACCCCCCCCACCCCCCACCCCGTCCCCGGGCCAAGAACAGGTTCTGTTCGGTAATTTTGAACATGAGATGTTGTATTTCCCTTCAGTTGCTGGTCTGCTGCATCTGACCGTCTCGACACTGGCTGGCGACGGCGACAGCCCGACAATCAACTGCACGCTGGACGCCCTCCCACGCAACACCGTCGGCATTGTTTCACTGGTCATTTCTAAATACAGCGGTCAACCCGTCCCCAGGTGAACAGCGTTAAAATAGAAAATTTTGATCTTTTTTGTGTTTGTTTAAAATCACAAATCCTGTGAATGTCTGTGTCCTTATCAAGTTTTTTGCAAGCCGGTTCTGTGGCCGCAATGGTGAGCTTATCTGTCTTACAAGAGCCTTGTGACCACCCCTGGTGACATTTTCTGTCTTACAAGAGCCTTTTGACGCAATGGTGACATTTCTGTCTTACAAGAGCCTTGTGACCGCCATGGTGACATTTCTGTCTTACAAGAGCCTTGTGATGTAATGGTGACATTTTCTGTCTTACAAGAGCCTTGTGACGCAATGGTGACATTTTCTGTCTTACAAGAGCCTTGTGACGCAATGGTGACATTTTCTGTCTTACAAGAGCCTTGTGACGCAATGGTGACATTTTCTGTCTTACAAGAGCCTTGTGACGCAATTGTGACATTTTCTGTCTTACAAGAGCCTTGTGACCGCCATGGTGACATTTTTTTTTGTCTGACAAGAGCCCCGTGACGCATTGGTGACATTGTATGCCTGACAAGAGGCGTCACGTTTAAATTCGCCCCTGGGGCGTCACTCACTGTGACGGAATACCCGGATTGAAAGAGTTCATCCTAGATGGGCAACTGTTCAATAGTTCAATACTTTTATTAAAAAGAACAACTGAAGGTGGAAAACAGCAACTTATATGATTTAGGTTATAAAAGAAATCCGCCTTCTACGGTCTCCAAAACAAACACACACACAAACTTATTTCAAATTGAGCCCAAACTCCCCGCCTCCCCCCTCCCCTCCCCCCACCCCTTTTTTTTCTCTTTGTGGATTGATTCAGTGCACCATGTTTGAAGACTGTGGATTTATATAAAACTGTAACAGGGTTTCCTGAATTGAAAAAATTACCACTGCTTCTCTTCAACCCACCGTAATTTCTAAACTCACTTCAAAGATGAGTCCCTCTTCAAATTAAATCTACACAAGCCCACAATGATTCATCAATGGTAGCCCTATATTTCGCTGTAAATTAAAACACAACAACAACATCTTTTTCAATGTCGTCCTATATTGTATTCAAAAAACCTAATTCTTTCCACGTCATCACTTCAGATATACAGAAGTAGCATCCATCAACATTTTTCACCCTGACTCGCCAAAGCTGGGACGCGATTTCCAGAGCGCTGCTGTCAAAGGTAAGACTTGATCACAGAGGTGTTAGAGCCAGCCTGGTGAAGATGGCATCCACTTGCACCCACTACGCCCGTGTTATGTAACAATCTCCGTGGTCCGTTGACTCGTTGGAAAGTGTCCTTCCAATATTAGAGAATACGTCGTAGACAAAAAAAAGGAGACTTATACAAGTCCCACGACTCCAATTTCTAATGACGTCATTTTGTGGTTTGCATAAAAGGAAACATTTATTTGGCCCATTGTCGTCATCTTCTGACCTTCGTAAATTTGATTATTTTAAAAAAAAAATTGATTACAAAATCACGGAAACACCCGACAGAAGTCTCGGGCATTTATCATTTAATTTATTACAGCATGGCCACGTGCAGCTGCAGCATCTATTCAATCCTTAGGCTTCTAAAAAATTATATATATAATTATATATTGAAATATGTGTCTTGTCTTGTTGTTGTTGTTTTTTTGTTTGTTGTTGTTTTTTAAATTCAATTCCTTGTATTGCATGTATTGTATGGGTGGTGTTGGGGGTGCTATTAGTCACTGTTAAATAGACTGCTTGGCTCATAGATCTCTTCCAGTGCAATTTCATTATACATCATCTAAAGCTTTTTTTTATTTTTTCAAAGATGACATAACATAATCTTGAAGACTAACAGAGTTATCGACAGATATTTCTGCAGTATGTGTCTAAACCTAGACGAAATCTTTTTATTTTATTTTTTTTTTTTCAAAATATTTTATCCACTTCATCAAGTGGAGAAATTTTTAAGACTCAGGTCACATTATTATTATTATTATTATTATTATTTTTTTTTTTGCAACTGCAACTCCGGTGACACTAGAGCAGGAATATGTTTTTTACCGGGACATTTTAGCCCGTGACAGCTTCCTCTCATTGTACAGGTGTTCTCAACAACGACAACGGCACCTTCTACCTCAGTGTGCAGTCCAGCCTTGCCGCTGTCGCCGACGCCCGGTGGTATGTGTGCGTTGCTGGCGTGCTGGATGAGTTTGGTGTATCCCAGGATATCAAAACCTCAGCCACCATTTGATCCAGGCCACCATATGATCCAGGCCACCATATGATCCAGGCCACCATACGATCCTGATATAGACAGAGTTTCGTGTCTATCCGGTGCTCTTTTAATGCCACACATATAGGTTTGAGAGTATTATTATATGAAAATGGGGGCAACAATAAAAATGTATTGTACGATTCAAAGCTTTTCTTTTCGTGTGTTAATATGAATGGATGTGATGTTTAAATACTTGTGATCAACAGAATAGTAAGTCATTTTGAAAATGTTAAAATCAAACGTAAATTTTATATATCTATTTAATTAATTTTTTTTTACTTGCCTTTAAACACAAATATTGTTTAACTAGTCGTGTTTAAATATTTAAGCTTGATATAGTTCCTTTTGAAGTCCCGACGCCTCATCTGAAGTCTGGGCGCCTCATTTGGAGTCATTGTGCCTCAATGAGAGTCCGGGCGCCTCATTTGGAGTCCGGGTGCTTCAATGGGAGTCAGGGGCGTCATTTGGAGCCAGCGCCCCTTTTCTTGAGTCCAGGCGCCTCGTTTGGAGTCCGGGTGCCTCATTAGGAATCTGAGCAACTTATTGGGAGTCTGGACGTCTCATTTGGACTCCGGGCGCCTTCTATCATTTCATCCCTACGGAAAATCTACAAAGTGCAATGAGAATGAATTCATATCGTCCAAGAGCCTTTCATCGACAGTTGTCCCGTTTAAACCTTCACGGCCCACTCGGAAACAGCTGCTTTAACAAACAAAAAAAAAAAAGCACTTGAAATGACTGGTAGATATGAATCGCTGAGACTATTAGGTATTGCTCTTATCGCAGCAGTAAGACGTGGCTACGGACGAAAGGTGATCCGCTAAACCAGTTGTGCACGGTGGTCCTCACCCTAAAGGCAAAGCATCGCACAAAATACGGTGGTCCTTACCCTAAAGGCAAAGCATCGCACAAAACACGGTGGTCCTCACCCTAAAGGCAAAGCATCGCACAAAACACGGTGGTCCTTACCCTAAAGGCAAAGCATCGCACAAAACACGGTGGTCCTTACCCTAAAGGCAAAGCATCGCACAAAATACTCTTACTCAAAGTTCGGGTTCGTTATTAATATTTGCTCAGGGGCTCTAGAAATGAACAACAACAACAGCAGCAGCTTCGTTTATAATTAGGCGAGGGTGTTGTGAAGTGGGGTGAGGTATCATCTTTACCGAAGTCACTGGAACTCGTGTTGTTGCTACGGTTACACCTCAGAGGGTAATTGACCTCGCAAATATTTCCCTTCTTTAACTGAAAGGTTTAAATATTGGGAACCAAATTTTTCATTGGAGTTATAAAAATTTTTTAAAAAATTAAAAAAAGATAAATTTCTATGCAATCTTTGCCTCGAAGCAATCCATCAACGGATGAATTATGTCTTCATTTTGCCTTTTTAAAAAAAAATAAATGACGTATAAGAACGATCTTCAAAGGCCTGAATGGTAACTGGAACTTTAAGGGTCAAGGTTATTCTTGGATTTTTTTTTTTTGATTTTTTTTTCCAATTGAAAAAGTCCGAAGCTAGAGAAGCATCTTTTTATTTTAACAAACCTCAATTAATGTATGCGAGTCCACGAAATGTGGCTGGTTAGAAAGTCTGTCATATTGGGCCTAGGATTAAGTCCTTGCCTGAGGGTCTTGTGAGCTGCTCCAATGGACGTCTATAAGTGAATCATTGTTTAGTTGCGGGGAAAATTATCATATTTTATTGCATGGATTGGAATCAGTTGAGTACAAAAAAAACCAAAAAACCAAAAAAAAAACAAAAAAAACCGAAGTGGCTATTCGGACCCGTGTCCGATAAGTTAGAGGTTGGGATTACAATTTAAAACAATATATATTATTGTTAGGTTGCAAGAAAAAAATTGGTAAAGGGACCCGGGTCCGAATAGCGGCGATGCGTTTCCGGTTCCATTTTGACTACATGCTATTCGGATGTCATTTGTGGTAGTTTATTTTAGATAAACTTAAGAAGAAAGTTTACAAACATATAGTCCATTCAATTATCTTTCATTTGATACCAAATTGTGTTTCCCCACACCCAACAATAATTTTTAAATATATTTTTTAAATAAACCCAAACTCTTACTTCTCGGACCCTGGGTCCGAATAGCCGCAGCCAAAAAAAAAAAAAAAAGAAAGAGGAGTTTTTTTCTTCTCTTTAAATTACCTTTTCTAAGCCAAAAGTAAAATTCACTGTTGATTGAAATCCTATAGATCATTTTTACGTTGTTCTTTAATGTTGTCCTTTCAAAATGGATCCATAAACTCCAGAGATCCGACTTTTCCAAAATAAAAATTGTTCCTCCAGCGAAATGGAGTGAATACTATCAGCTTTGATCATTCTGAGTAATAAGGGGTATGGCTACTAAGTTTGACCTGGATGCAATATCACTTAGAGATCGAAGTGTGTAGCCTACTTTAATTGTAACTTACACTGTATGAGAGGGAAAAAACAGACTTGGGTCCGTGGTCCCCTAAAGGGGTCACTTGGTGAGTTTTCATCACCATAATATACGCCCATGGGCGTATTGTATTTTAACTGTCAGTCGATGAAGTTTCATGGTCGATGCTGTCATGTCTATTCATACTTAAAATAAAAACATATTCAAATGGAGTACAGAGTAAAGACTTTTACTTTTATTTCTTTCACAAAAAAAAAAATAATAATTAATAATCATAATGATAATCTGACTTCGATCTACAATTCTACATTCTGACTCCCCTTTACTGCCATGAAATCTTTTTCCGCCCCCCCCCTCCTCTTTTTCCAACGAAAATTCCTCCCTTCAATATAAGGAAACAAGGTGCAGCCTGGGGTTGACCAACCCCTCCGTACCCCTTCCTACGCCACTGTATTTGTATAAAAGTAAACTCAATAATTACATAATTAGATAGGTACACTTTTAAATCAAAAGTAGGTCAAAATTCACCTGATTTACATGATCGAGATATATATATATATATATATATATAATATATATATATATTAAATATATTTAATAATCAACGCGTATTTTATACCATATTTGCAGTGGCGACGCTACACCAGGTCCCGCCGGGTCCCAGGACCTGGTAAAAAAAAAAAAACTTGGGACCTGGCAAATTTGTATTAGTTACTAATATTGTATATATGCTCATTAAGCGTAAACTACATTGGATATGCTGGAATTTCTCGAGAAATACAAGGACGCATTTTACGAAAGTAAACGACTACTGCAAATTGGATGCACGATACCGGTGTCATCTGCAGAAGCAGAAAGATCATTCAGTCAACTAGCTTTAATAAAAGCACATCTTCGCACAACCATGACTGACGAGCGCTTGTCAAATATTGCTGTAATATCGATACATTCACAGAGGGCCAAGACACTGGATTTGGAACGTATGGTGGACACATTCGTGGAAATGTATCCTAACTGCAGAATTATTTTGAAATGAAATTGGCCTGTCCTGTGTCAGTGTATCTGGAGTCAATGAGTCAATAGTGTGGAGTGTCACGAGAGTGGATTCTCTAGATAAACGTGATTAACCTTACAAATATGATACATTCAAATTAATTTATTATTACAATTGACAATGTATGTAAACTTTGGGTTAAGTTAGTAGATTAATAAATATTACTTAATTAATAAATGCTATTTTTAATACATTTATTTGGGACCCGCCAAATTTTTTTAAGACCTGCAAATAAGACCGGTAAATAAAAAAAATTCTGAAAAATTTTGCTTTGAGATATTTGTTTAAAAATCATTCATCATTGAGTAGAGAATGTCAATATAAATAAGCATGCAATGTTTCAATTACGTAGTTCCAAAACAATTCCTCCTGATTCATCAATTGACGTCAGAAAAAAAAATGAAAATGCTATATCGATAAAAGCTGAAAAAGACACTGACAAATGCTTGTTAAAAAAATTAAAGGTTACTTGAACAACATTGGATGCATACATCATGAACACATTCCACTCGTTAATTAAAAAAACAAAACAATTTAAGTACATAGATATAATTGATAGAATATAAATGAATGCATTTTCCCAACAACCCACTAGCCTCGAGCCTAATAAAAATAATAAGATTATAAAAACTTCGGAATTTTGTTTATGAGACATGTAATAAAAAAACAACATCAATCATTATGTAGAGAATATAGTAGAAAAAAACCTGGCAAATTTTGAAGCATGTAGTAATAATACTTTTCCTCATAATACATTTGACGTCAGAGATAAATGGAAAATCCTAAGTGGGCCATCTTAAAAAGAGAAAAAAAAATCAATTAAGCAATATTAGATATATAGGAGTCAAATAAAATGAAATTTAAGCATATCAATGTGAAATTATCATAAAAGATACGAATTTTCTAGATATTTGTACAAATGTTAAACAATATTGTAGAACATGTTAATGTCTTTTAATAAGATGGAGCCAAGTTGCTTTGTTAGTCATCTGTTTACAGTGGTGTTTATTTCGCTACTGACATATATTTCATTACTTTCCCAGCTATTTATTGAGAAAGAAATCGAAACTGTCACAAATTTTAAGAAAGGAAATTGACAATTTTATTTAAAGTTTTAACAAACATTTCCCACATAACCCCCACCCTCAAAATTCTAGCCGCGTTACGTCCGTAATGGATGCACAATCGTGCAAAGGAAAAGCAGCGCCCTGGGCGAATGCACCCCCTTATATTGAGGTCCCTTGCGAGTACCACCTTTACATTGCTGTGCATGGATCCAGTGGGCTAGAAAGAAATATCAGACAAAGTGGATAGATCTATAACATTTTTTAAAAATTATTTAAATCTAAATATATCCAATTGGGCAACTTTTATAACGTATCTTTGAAGACAGAAGAATTCTCCTTGTTTTCCCACAATGGCGTCATTTATGACAAAAGATTCATGAAATGTAGGCTACTTTTTTTTTTTTTATCTTGTTCAATTTTGTTAAATGGTTATTGTACATGAACAAAAAGACGCTACTTAGACCTTTAGTTCCATCAGGTAAAGAGGAAGTTTTAATTTTATATCTAGAAATAATAAATCGCGCTTAAATTTCATTGCCTTAACTTGCCTTGCCTTACTTAAAAATTAAGTAGTCACTTTGATTTTGATTTAGAAAATTTAAACTTTTTGTAAAAATAAACCAATG